TGGGTACAATGTGTGAAGCCCATTTCTGGTGTCCCCCGTCGTGATGTTGCTGGAACATTGCTAAAAGCGGCGTAAAACCAAACTCAGTCAGTCAGCCAGCCTTTCGGGCTTACACGAAAAAATAGGCTGGCTACGCGCCTGCCTGGGAAATAGTCTAACCTGAAATTCAACCCAGTTGCAAGCAACAAAGTGCTGAAGACCACATTTATCCGGGTCTAAGTAGGGTTGCTGACACCAGTATTGAGGATCTATTCTCATCCGGGTTTCCCGAAGGGTTGCAAGCAATATAGTAGCATTGGACACCTATTCTTGCCCGGGTTCCAGACATCAGGGATACAGAGCATAAGTTCTATTGCCGGACGTGAGTGAGTGAGTGAGTGAGTGAGTTTTGTTTTACGCCGCACTCAGCAATATTCCAGGTATATGGCGGCGGTTCGTAAATAATCGAATCTGGACCAAACAATCCAGTGATCAACAGCATGAGCATCGATCTGCGTAATTGGAAACCGATGACATATGTCAACCAAGGCAGCGAGTCTGACCACCCGATCCCGTTAGTCGCCTCTTACGACAAGCATGGGTTACTTAAGATCAATATTCTAACCCGGACCTTCACGGGTCTAGTGCCTGACGTGTTTATGTTTATGTGAAGTGAAGACTGGAGATAAGAGATTGATGGAATCTAAGGCAAGGTTTGAATCCCATTGTTTAAAAATGTTTTCGAAGCTTGTTCAACGTTTAATGGGAGGTTTAGAAAAGTTGGTTCTGTTATTGATTGAGATTGGGGTGCATCTAATTCAAATAAGTCAATACATTGTCATTCAACATCAAGAGGTATGACCGCCTCCGTGGTGTAGTGGTTAGATCGTCCGCCCGGAGAGCGGAAGGTCGCGGGTTCGATCCCCGACCGCGTCAAACCAAAAGACGTTAAAATATGCTACTTGTTGGTCCGTGCCTGGCGCTCGGCATTAATGGGTACAACAAGGACTGGTCGGCTCGGAGTCAGTATAATGTGTCTGAGTGGGGTATTCATGCTTCACTGCGGCATGGTATCTCAGTGGGCTAGCACTATAAAACCAGCTTCAGTCTGGGCTAGTACAAACAGCCGCACATACACATACACACGCATGCCCGTCGTCATATGAGCGAAATATTCTCAAGCAGGACGTAAAACCCAATTTCACCGCACCTCAAGAGGTATATAGTTGATACAAATCCAAATGAACATTTCGCCTACTCCTGAAACCAGTCAAAACTAGTTTGTTGACATGTTATCTGCAAAGAATCAGTACTGAAAATTTTTCCCTTGTATTATTATTATAAATATACCCGAAGGAAAAGCTTCAGACACCTTGTCATGTTAACTACTCCCTGTATCTGGGCGATGTGATAGTCCGGTTGTTAAGCGTCCACTCGTCACGCCGTTAATTCCCCACATGGGTACACGGTGTGAAGCCCAGATGATACTGCTAGATATGCCTAGAATAATGCAAACAGGTCCGTTAAACCACACCCACACATTTACATGTACTCGTTGTAGCTTCTCCCCACATTACCAATCATTTGTTGTTTGGGACGGTTGGGTAGCCTAGTGGTTAAAGCGTTCGCTCGTCAAGTCTAAGACGCGGGTTCGATTTCCAACATGGGTACGATGTGTAAACCCATTTCTGGAGTCCCCAGCCGTGATTTTGCTGGAATATTACTGAAAGCTGCTTAAAACTACAAGCACCCACCTATTCGTTGTGTATTTATGATCGTTCAGAAAAGGGGCGGTGGTGTAGCCTAGTGGTTAAAGCGTTGGCTCGTCACGCCGAAGACCCGGGTTCGATTCCCCACATGGGCACAATGTGTTAAGCCCATTTCTGGTGTCCCCCGCCGTGATATTGCTGGAATATTGCTAAAAGCGGCGTAAAACTAAACTCAGTCAGTCAGTCAGTCGTTCAGAAAACATTACGATACTGTAGGGCAACAGTTCGCTACTATAGCCTCTGAGGGGCTAAAATGGGAAGATGGCTAGACAGTAGACACCAACCCCCACTTATAATAGCCTACATCTAATAGTGGTTACATTGTTTTCCATGTCACACCAGAGATATATACAAGCTGACACTGGCCCGCTAGTCAGTTCGTCTTATGTTAAAGATACCCCGAGGGCTTTTAGAAGGTCTGGCTTTTTAGAATATATCTTCATGTGATATACTCGTCGCGAATAGCTGCACAATTGCTGATGCAACGTTAAGCAATACTCACTCACCCACGTGATATATCTATTCGACTTGAAGTAAACGTCCCGAGCAGAGTTGCATTCATGATTTCCAGAAATATGTTTACATAAGCATATGACCGTATGTCACAGTTACGATCAATGTGAAACCAACAATGCTTTAAAAAACACATCTGGTCTTTTATATACGTTAATCAAATTCTAGCTGAGATATTTCTGAATTCAGTTTATGACATTTCTTAGATTTGAAAGCGAAAGATTTTGATTTTTTAAGGGGGGTCACCCACATTGTTCTGGGGTGGTAGGGGTGTGTGTTTTTTTCCAACCATCTTGTACATAAAGATATTTTTCAAACTATGCTTAAAAAATATGGTAAGGGGAGAGGGGGTCATTGATTTTGTACATGACATGCAAGGGGGGTCACTTACCTTGTACGTAAATTTTAGGGGGGGGGGTCATTCACATTGTACATGCTTCTGTATAAAATTCATCATCAATTTCAGTGTGCGTAACTGATTGTATATTTCATGCAGTGAAGTAAATAAGTAATAACACAGGTTATCCAAACATCTGAGCATGTTTCTTTTGATCTGCTACTGGATCCCGACCTACGAAGCTATCGTAGTGCTACGACATCCGTTAGCCTATGATAAAGTATAGAGTTACGACAGGTCGTCACCTTACGAACGCTTTGTGGATAGAGACCCAGGGCCTAGATTTTCGAAGCTCTCTTAACGCTAGGATAGTCGTAAGTGCCATACATTAACATTAACTTACGATTTGCAAATATTTGGACGTATGGGGTGTCAGCATGTTTACTATATTTGATTTGGTTTATTTTGTTTGTTGTTTAACACCGCACCCGGCAATACGGCAGCTATATGACAACGGTGTGTAAATAATCCAATGTGGTCAAGGCATTCCACTAACTGCTTTTATTAAGGATCCACGCCGACTGGGCATGATAACGCACAATCCACCTACCTTCAGTACCTTGGTTACCTATCCCACTCCTACACAGCAGTTATATCTTTGGAACCGGACAGAGGACATGTTATCATGTGTATAATGCATCCTAATGACTTGTCAGTCAGTGTATTATACAGTATCCCTACAATCATGAGACACGGATGACCCAGTGATCACAATCTAACCTAAAGTTGGCGCAAAATCTGTAGGTCGTGGGTTCGAATCTCGTATTTGTTCGAGGGATGTCAGAGCTGCATCCACACTCGTTGCTCGTATTACAGTGGTAGAGATAACACGCATAGCCCACATAAAAAAATAACTGAACATTCAAAATTCACCCCCTCACATTATACCAAAATATTTGAGAATTTTGAAATTATCTTTTTAAGACGCAAGTTATCGAGTCGCCATGCAAACTAGTGATTGATATTATAAGCAATGTGCCATGATGACGGCACTCAATCTGTCGCCGAGGCTGACCGCTTGATCCATTACATTCGCCCCCTACGACAGACCTGGGAGAGCTATCCTACACTCGGAATTTCCACAGGATCAGGAGAATAGCATACAGAAGCTGTTATAATGAGATATAATTCAGTCTACGTATGACGGCCTGTAATTTAAAAATTGATTCTTCTGATTCGATCCAATTCATTTCCCTGGCTGCACCAGGCATGAAAGAGGGGAAGTAATTAGAGACAATTCCTCTTCGAAGCGTTATAAAATCCATGTTATTAGTTGATTTAGGCTCTCTGTCGGCGAGGTGTTTCGGAGATCTCAGAAAATGCTTTTCGCTCGTTAAGCAAACTAGAATGTTTTATAGACTTTCGTTATTGAAATATCGAGTAACTATACCAAATATCTGGTGCTGACAGTTTGGTTCCAGATGGTGCACAACTGCAGAAGGTGAATGAACTGACTGTTATAACCCTGACATTCGTGCCACTGTCGGCTACAATGTCAAGTTGTTGTGTTGCTGCATATAAACGATGGCGCATCGGGAGTGAACCTACCCAATACTCCTGACAACACACTTATCCTTTGCTAGTTATGCTAATATTTGTTTTCCCAGGGGTACTGTGGTACATACTGCCAAAATCGTACAAATACCCATACTCTAATGCCTACATGGTTGTTACTTAGGGCCTATTCGATTATGCTAAACCGGTTTTGGTTTCTGGAAAACCATGAACTCGATTATGTCGAAACCTAAAACTGGGTTCTGAAACTTCGAAACCATCTCCGAGGCAGGTTTCGCAGTTTCGGTTTCGCGTTCTCTCACAACAAACATGGCGGAAACGAAGTTCAGCTGATCTTGGTGGCAAAATAGAGCAGCAGCTTCTGTAATAAAAATAATTATGAAAATCAACTGAGAACTAGGAAAACATTATTTAAAACCCCATTCTATTGAACATGACTGTTTTATGTAACTTGTAACTTATAATCACTATTTACCTCAAAAAGCATCTCATTTCTTTATTATTTGTTAATTCCCTGATAAAATGACAAAAAATATTATATTCGGCAATGCTGTCATCCAATTTGTTCCATATATATAGTAGCTGAGACTTTTTTTTATCCATTTTAAAACCGAATGGGGGAACCATCCACTCGTTTATAAAACTAGAAACAAGTTTCACTTTGAAACCATGTCTCCGAAACTAGACGCTACTTTATAACAAGAGAAACCAGTTTCAGAAACCAAAACCAGTTTCGCAATAATCGAACAGGCCCTTAGATACCATAACAAGCGTGACAAGATAGGCTCGTCACATCGCTGTCTGGAGCTTAGTGGCGTCAATAGAGTTATTTCCCTTTAACGAGGGTCATCATACCCAGTGACATTTCGCCAGCAAACGGTTGTGGTAGCTATGTGAAGTGTTGGGCCAAGTATTGCCCTGTGTCCAAGATGGACTCTGTGACTGCCGTGAAAGTGTGCTGTGGCATAGCACTAATGGTTTGGTGCCTTCGGTGTGGGTCTGCGTCACATGATGTCGTTTCTTGTGAGTGTTTTTACATCCTGATTAGGGAACAAACTGAATAATGAAATTTAAATCTCCGACAGTGTAGCTGGATTTGATTTTATAGTTCTCTATTTGATCTGTGGGAGAAGACAAAACCTCCACCTGAAGGTTTGCAGTGAAGCCTTACACACTTTTTAATTCGAAGATAGAACATTACAGGGAGAGGATATTTTCGTCTGAGTATGGATGAAATATTTGCATCCCATTCCAAATACATTGTAAGTGTAAGCAGTGTTTTTAAGAATGCGTGAATGTATATAAAATCTTGCCACAATTTATGTTCCTCGAAAACCAAGGAATAAAAACTAATTCTAAGGTAGCTGCTACTAACATCTAAGTTTAAAGTGAAATGCAAAAATGAATCGAGGGAACTAAATTAATTATTAAATTGAAAAGAGTCGTGCATACAGTGACTGTATATTCCAAATGGCAGTTCTTCACAAACAATCAATCAGTCTTTTTATATGAAGTGTTTACCTCCCCAGGATATTGATGTCTACACACATGTCTTTCTATATATGTGTGTTTCAGATTACATGGAAGATATCTGCGGTCACACGGTCTCATTTAGTTCAGAGGAGGAAAATGAGTTTTTGTTTAGCCTGACCAGAGATGAGAGCAGCTTTGCTGCCAACATGTACTGTCGAGTAGAAATAGTCGCAGACCCACGTTTCCAGATAATGTTCAAATTCACACGGCTCGACTTTTCATCCTCTTCACATTACTTGTCTTTATACAGCCGTGCCATAGGTTGGAGTTATGGTGAGTTGATTCCATACCCTAAACAGCTTACATCTGAATTATACAAGTGATGGATATTGACAAAAAGTAGAAGTCGCCATGTGTATCTACCTCTGACAAGTTCTGTCAGGGAGTGATATGGTGAGTCAGACATGTTGGATTGTAAGGATGCCTTCTGACAGACATGAGAAACTTCTTATCATCAGATTAAAGCTGTCTTACCTCTATGATGAAATCCCATACTCTGACATTGACCAGTCCAATTGCTCTAGAATGGTTTTCTGGAACTGAGTCCTGAAATATAAAAATATTTATTATTAAACATATTGATTGCACACAATTACTTTTATGAGGGTAGTTGAAATATTCTGAGCCTAACTATGATTGATGGGTTTATAACTAATTTGAAGATAAGTAGATATTAATTGTTTATCAACAGATAAAGATAGATTGGTAGATATTTCATATTATAAAAATCTCTTGCCCCGTGAGCCAGTTCAACCCACAACTAATGCCCGTCAGGAACCTTTGCATGAGCAGAATGCTCAAGTGGCAGCAGACCCAAAACTTCTGATGGACGTCCGCGTTAACCTCTCTCTGATGGAAACTCTTCCAGCATAGAGACAATTGGCCCCAAAATTTCGGATCCTCACTCTTCCTCTTCCTCAGTTGCAGATCTTTCCAAAAATCCTGTGTATATTTTGTTTCATTCTATTTATGATGAAATATCTGATTTACCTTTAGAAAAATGGAGGCCAATTAAACAAACAACTGAATCTTTTCCCAAAAATGAAATTAATTTATTAAATGACATTATTTCTATGAAACTTTCATTACATGAAGTTAATTGTTGTGTCTATGCTGCCGCTCGAACCTTGGAGGAACTTCACACAGTTTCCAAAGAAAACACATCCAATACTGAGAACAATACACCAAAGAAAAACCGGTTTCAAGTGAAACTAACAGAAATACAACTGAAATACAAAACAACGAAAGAAAAGATACTTTTCCAAATTGTCGATTCCCTTAAGGCAAAAATAAAGGTTTGGACTGAAAGAAAGAAAAAATGGGAAAAGAAAAATAAATTCATCAAACAAAATAAACTTTTTAGAAATAATGAAAAACACTTCTACAGGCAACTTAAAACAAATGGTGATGGTGAGCATGATAAATGACCTCCCATGGATGCCAATGAAAGGTGTTAGATTCAAGTATAATTTTAGAATTCAAGTAAGACAATATGAATCAAGAACCAAGTGAAATAGACAGTTGGCTGAGGGCATATAAGGAGCCTAATGTGACCATGAATCAAGATGAGGTGAATTCAGAGCGAGTTCTTCAATTGAATAAGGAAAGGGCAGGTTTGCAAGCTGCATTTACAAGGACAGTAAATAAACTAAATGACCTCCTAGCAGACAAAAACTCTGACATGAGTGTTATTGAAGATTCACTGAAGTCTGTTGAAAAGACTTATGAAAATCTTATTGGGAAAGTGAGACGGATTCAAGAATGCACTACTGTAGAGGAAGGTGAGAAGCTCGAATTCTACAAATCGCAAATCTCTGAGAGACTATATAAGGTGAAAGTAGAAGTTGCACGACGCCAAGATGCGGTAAACCGGGTGACTCCCAGCCAGTCAGGTGGGAAGCAGCACAAGTTCTACAAAATCTAAGATAGCAGCTAAGAAGGCAGCTCTACAAGTAAAGCAACAAGCTTTGAGGAAATCTCAAGAATTAAAGCTGAAAAGATTACAAATTGAAATGGATGAAGAAAAGCACAACATTGAAACAGAACTTGCCATCGCAGAGGCTGAAATAAAGGCCATAGAAGAAATAAGTGGGGTACAAAAGTCTGTACATTATGAAAATAAGGACAATACTCCTCAGGATGTGCAGAACAGGAAAATTCCCGACAAGAAACCTGTCAATCAATTTAATCCCAATGCACCACCATGGATGGGTCAAAGCAAGGTTAATGAGACTCCTCAAGTTCGTGTGGACACTTATGATGCTCTGCAAATGCTGCAATTGCCGGAAGGTGGAAATTATGACATTTGATGGTAATCCGCCAAATACTGGACTTTCATCAGATCTTTCAACAATAGCATTGGTCATACCACCATCAGTGAAAGTGCAAAGTTAAATCATCTTGTGCAGTATTGTGGACGGACCTGCAAGAGAGGTTGTGGAATGTTGCCTGATAATGAACCCAGATCAAGGATATACAAGGGGCAAGACAACTCCTGCTCGAGCGATTCGGCAATCATCATATCATTGCTAAAGCTTGGATTGACAAGGTGACAGGAGTACCCAACCTAAAGCCTAATGATAGTGTGAGCATGCGCCAAGTTTGCAGACTCTATCAGAAGTTGTGTTGTTTCATTATCAGCTATGAGCAAGCTGAATGAAATTGACAATCAACCCCTCGAATGAGGAAAATTATTGACAAGATGCCTGTGTATATTCAAAATAGTTGGCGGAAAGAAGCAGTGAGTGTGTTGAGACACACAGGGTCTTATCCAGGGATTGAACACTTAGCCAATTTCATTGAGAATGTGGCTGAGGAGTTGGATGATCCAGTATTCGGGTTAATGTGAATGTCTCTACTGACAAGACTACGCTAAAGGCGTGAATCCAAGTTTAAGTCATCATCCAACTTTTTAGCTGAAGCAATTCAAGGTGATACTGAAAACTCTTGTGTGAAACAAGTTCAGTTATCATGCAAATGCTGTCAGGGCAGTCATCCGTTATTCCAGTGTCCGCTTTCCAAAAACTCAGTGTTCCAAAGCGGCTGGAGCTCGTGATTAAGCATAAGCTATGCTTCAACTGTTTTTCCTCCCCGACACATATTACCCGATTGCAAGAGAGAGATTTTTGTGATGTGACCAGTTGCAAGCGGAGAGGGAAGAAACATTCTAACTTGCTGCATGATCATTCAAGAACTTATGGGAAGTCAAGTGAACCTTCATCCAATAAGTCTCATGCGACAGAATTAGAAAGTCATCTGCCATCAAGCTTAACAGACTAAGAACGAGAACATGTTTGTGAATGGATCCGTGTATGGCGCTTAATGGGGCCGGAGGTAAAAAGAATAGCCTTACCTATAGTTCCAGTCTGTGTTAAGGTCACAACAACAACAATATCAGAACTTTCGCCTTACTTGATCCTGGAAGCACAAATAGTTTCTGTTCAGAAGAACTTGCCAATTCTCTGGGTCTAAAAGGAAATAGAACATTGTTGTCATTGAATACACTAACTGACAGAAATAGTGAATCACAAAGCAAAGTTGTCTCCTTGAAACTGACAGACGCCGAGGGAAAGAATTCTGTCGACATGTCACATGTGTTTGTGCTGCCACAAATGCCGCTTAGTGGAAGGAAGTGTTGTCACACAGAGAGACATTGACGATTGGGAGCATTTTCGGGGGATTGACTTTCTGATTCTTGACGGACCATTAGCAAAGGTGACAATACTAATCGGACAAGACAATCCTACTGTACTAATACCCTTAGAGGTCAGAACTGGTAAAGCTAACCAACCATATGCTACCAGGACCAAACTAGGATGGGCTATAAATGGACCCCTACTTAAGAGGCTCACAAAAGCATGTCACTGTCAACTTCGCATAAGAGAATCTTGAAACACAAGTGGAGAGATTTTGGCAACTAAGTGAAGTTATGACAAATGACATTGCGCTGTCATTTCAAGACAAACAAGTCATCAAGCTGTGGGACTCTACAGTTGAGAGGGAGGACAAACATTATAAACTGCCAATTCCATTCAAGTCAAACCCACCAAGACTGCCGAACAACTACAGTGCAGCAGAATCAAGGCTACAATCATTAACCAGGAAGTTAATGCGAGACGAAGGACTGTCTCAAGGCTACAAGGCAGGTATTGATGATATGCTGCAGAAGGGCTATTCGGAAAGAGTTCCACACGAAGAAATTAGCGTTGACAATGGGTACACATGGTATATCCAACATCATGTCGTCCTCAGTGACAAGAAGCCTGGTAAGTTCAGGATAGTGTTCGACTGTTCAGCTTCCTACTGTGGACGCAAGCTTGAACAAAGCAGTGTATCAAGGGCCAGACCTGACTAACTCCTTACTCGGTGTGCTTCTGAGATTCAGGCAGCACAAGATAGCTCTGGCAGGTGACATTGAATCAATGTATCACAGAGTGAAGGTGGCTGATCATCATCGGACTCGTTGGAGGTTTCTGTGGTGGAAAACCAAGTATTAGGAGGTGAAGTGGGAGATCTACAGAATGACTTCACACCTGTTTGGAGGAATATGGAGTTCAAGCTGCGCTAACTACGCGACTGCAGAAGGTAGCCTTGGACAATGTTGACGATTTTGACAGTGATGTTATACAGACTGTGAAGGACAATTTCTATGTTGACGATTGTCTAAAGTCAGTCCAATCTGAACAGGAAGGAATCAAATTGATCAAGGATCTGTGTGAGCTCCTGCAAAGGGGATCCTTCCGACTCACCAAATGGTTAAGCAATAGCAGAACAGTGTTGAGCAATGTCGCTATGGAAGAGCGAGCCAAGAACTTGAAAGATCTGGATCTCTGTACGAGTGATCTCCCACAAGATAAGGCTCTTGGAATTAAGTGGGACACTGAAACAGATGAGCTCTATTTCAAGTTCATTCCAAAGTCCAAGCCACTCTCACCAAGAGAGGACTGATAAGTGTCATCTCATCGATATAACGATCCTCTGGGATTCCTCACCCCATTGATCTTGAGTGCAAAGCAGATCTTCCAAGATGAATGTAGACTCCGCAAGGGATGGGATGCTGTAATAGAGCTAGAGCACAATGAAAGATGGACAAAATGGTTATCAGAATTGAATCTCATCGAGGGATTTTCAATACCAAGATGTGTGACCCCAGAAGGTTTCGGACAAAGCACTCTCTGTTGAATTGCATATCTTTGCAGATGCTTCGAGTGTAGGATATGCAGCTGTGGCATACCAGCCGAATGAAGAATGCCGAAGAACAAATATGGTGTTCA